CTTCATCAATTGGATGTCTCCAATGCTTTCCTTCACGGTGTCATTCCTGATGAAATTTATATGAAGCAGCCTCCAGGATATGTAGATCAGCAGTATCCTCATTATGTGTGCAAACTAAAGAAATCTCTTTATGGGCTGAAACAGGCACCCCGGGCTTGGTACCAGCGTCTGTCAGGGTTCCTTGTTGACTATGGCTTTGGGAAAAATGAACATGACACCAGCTTCTTTGTTAAGCACTCTCCCTCTGGCATTCTCATTGTCCTTCTCTATGTTGATGATATTATTGTCACTGGCAGTGCCTCACCTCTTATCTCTTCATTCATCGAGGCTATGCAAAAGAAATTTCAAATGAAGAATCTTGGCCCTCTTCACTACTTTCTTGGTCTTGAAGTCACACGCACAAAGGATAATCTGCTTCTATCTCAGGAAAAATATGCCCGTGAACTTCTTCATAAAGCATGAGTCAAGGATTGCAAACCGGCCCCCACGCCCCTACCCGTACGGCAGCCCGAGGAGGGGGTGAGCCGTCCATTCGACAATCCCACCTTTTTCCGGAGTTTAGTTGGCTCTCTCCAATACTTGACAAACACGCGTCCAGACATTCAGTTTGCTGTGAATTATGTTTGTCAAAGGATGCATGCACCTACAGAGCAAGATTTTCAGTCCTTGACACGCATCCTGCAATATGTCAAAGGAACCATTGATCATGGCTTGGTCTTTCGGCGAGGCCCACAGACCATCTATGCATATTCTGATTCTGATTGGGCCAACGATATGACAGATGGACGGTTCGTTACAGGTTACTTGATATATCTTGGCTCTAATTTACTCTCTTGGAGTACGGAGAAACAAAGTCGTGTCTCACGCTCGTCCACCGAAGCCGAGTACAGAGCCCTATCGGCCGCAGCAGCTGAGGTGATGTGGCTCACCTATTTGTTTGACATTTTACAAATCAAGCTCCCTCCTCCACATCTTCTATGCGACAACCAGTCTACCATCTGTCTGACTAAGAATCCAGTCTTCCATAAGCGCATGAAACATGTCGGAACGGATTGCCACTTTGTACGAGAACAAGTAATTGCAGAGAAAATGACGGTTTCTTATGTTCCTTCTAATGAGCAGCTGGCAGACCTTCTCACAAAAGCTCTTGCCTCGCCACGCTACACTGCATTGGTTGCCAAGCTTCCTCTCGTTTCACGGCGTTCAGCTTGAGGGGGGATGTTAGACATATATGNCAACCAGTCCACCATCTGTCTGACTAAGAATCCAGTCTTCCATAAGCGCATGAAACATGTCGGAACGGATTGCCACTTTGTACGAGAACAAGTAATTGCAGAGAAAATGACGGTTTCTTATGTTCCTTCTAATGAGCAGCTGGCAGACCTTCTCACAAAAGCTCTTGCCTCGCCACGCTACACTGCATTGGTTGCCAAGCTTCCTCTCGTTTCACGGCGTTCAGCTTGAGGGGGGATGTTAGACATATATGGAAAGAAGTCTAGTTATAGCAGAATTGTTATTTATGTTAGTTTACTTATTTGGTGAATCCTAGTTCATGTAGGGATCCTCACTTATATAAACATCCATGTACACAATTATTCCTTAAGAGTGAATTCATAAATCAATAATAATGATGGGATTATTTGATATAATTTCTATTTAAATTTATATTTTCAATCCAATATTTTTTAAAATTAAATATGAATGTTTAAAATCGAAAGGGTAAATCAATTTTTTTTGAATTGAAAATTTGAGATAATACAAATTTTAGTTCGGTATACTAAGGGCATTTACATCAATGCCTTTTTTGTCCCGCGCCGCATATATGCTGAGAAGAAACCGCACCTCGTCTTCCATTGCAAGTCTTCCGCCACGGGGCGAGACAGAAAATTAGTGGAAGGCTGATGTGACAGGAGTTGGAAAGAAGGGACTAATATAGACTATAGAGTGTTTACTCTTTACCAACTTCATTTATTGACTATACCCCATAGCCGGAAAACGGAAACTTTGGCTCGGGCTGAGGTCTCCGGTTTCGGATCAAGTCAACGGACTGCTCCGTACCCTTCACATCGTATCATTTGCTCCGCAATATTCGCTCGATAAATCCAATTCCATTTGGCTTCTTTCTTCTTTTCTTAATCGTCTTCTTCACTGCGTCCCAGATCCCCAGCGACTGTGTTTCAAAGGGTTTGGAGCACTTAAACAGGTAACCTATTGTCTGACCAATCGGCCAAACCGTGTTTCGGTTTTTGCATATTTTGCTTCGATTTCAGTTCAAGATTGAAACTTTGGGGTTGGGTCTGGGGATTCACCATGAAATCTGTTTTTATCTTTGCTCTTTTTTGAATTTTTGTGGGCATGGGTTTGTTGTACATCAAGATTTAGAGTGATGGTCGAGTTGATTCTTGGTTTCCAGGGGGTATTTTGGGGATTTTTTTCGAGCTTCTGTGTGATGAATTGCTAGATATCTGCTTGATCTTTGCATCTGTTGTCTGAAAAGTTGTATGCCAAATTCTTGATTGTTTGAGCTGTTCCTGAAAGAAAGTTAGAAAAAAGACTAACATTATGGTTGTAAAAGTTGGATTTGAAGGTGTATGTGTTGTTTCTGGTGATCGGATTGGGAAATTTGTTCATTGAAGCTCCGAAGATCGGAATCTGTCTTTGGAAAAGAAGAAAGAAAGAATGGATTCATCTAAAAAGGGTGTTTGTTATTGTTCTGTATCGAAGGGGGGTCGGGTTTTGTACACTTACAACAATGATGATGGGGACATGGAGATTGAGAACTTGGCTGCACAATGCTTGGAGAAGGCGCCGCCTCATCACAAATGGTATTTTCAGACGATGGGTAAGAAGACTTTCTGTTTCTTGATGGAAGAAGACGGGTACGTTTACTTTGCAATTGCAGAAGAGTCCCTCGGCAATGCGGAGGCTCTTCGGTTTCTTCAGAACCTGAGAAGCGAGTTCGAAAAGCACGCGAGAAGGGGCAGTTCGGGCAGAAGCATGTCGAGTCTCAGCTCCATAACCACTCTCCAAGAACAACTAGTCCCGGTGATAAAAAATTTAATCACCTCCCTTGAAAACGTCTCCGGTGGGGACCATAGGTGGCCTGCGATGCCTAATTCGGTGGGCCCCGCATCGACATTCCCCAACGCCAATGGGCAAGCAGAGGTTGGGTCTTCGACGAGGGCCCCACTATTGAGCAAGTGTGACAAAAAGAGCAAGAGTAGTAGGAGTAAGAGGAACAAGGATCACGTGGTCGGTATGAGGGGAATTGAGTTGGAGGAGCATAGGAAGTCAAACGAACGAGGTGACTTGGAACCCTCGGGAGGGTCTCCCGCGTTGTTGCAAAAGGATTTTGGTTCCGGAAGGATGACGACGAGAGGAAGCAACCAAAGCTTTCAAAAGAAATGGTGTCGTTTGGTTCGGATCATTCTCGCCGTGGATGGTGCGGTTTGTCTTGTCCTCCTCGTGATATGGCTCGTGGTATGCGAAGGGACGAAGTGCCTTAGCTAAATATTGTTTTGTGATATACTCAAATGGAAATTCCTTTGTACAGGAAGGAGGGGTACAGGTGAAATTTGAAGACATGGAAGGTTTTACAGTGCTCCATTAGACTTCGACGCGATTCTTACCCCCCCGACATGCTTCCACTCTTGCGTTTTACCATTTCGGGGTCAAATGGAACACGGTAGGGACATCAAACGATTGAGGACGACATGGATTAATTTGAACATTTTTAGACAGTACCGAGACATCTACGTTATTTTGTCCAATTATCATTACGTCTTGTTAAGTTTTTTCATCTAATTTGTTTATCGTCAATGAGAATCATCTCTTAGTACAACAAAGAATCACATTTTGCATCAATTGCTAACAAGCAATTTCAATCATAGGTTTAAAACGCAATTCTTAGTAATTCATTATATTTAGCTTTGATACCAATTGGATTTGTATTTAGTCCTTTTTTAATGCTCCGGGGTAACACAAAATACTACACACATTTCGATTACCATGGTTGATTAAATTTTATTTTAGAACTATGTAGAAACAAAAAGAAAGTAAAATTTACTACTTTCGTTAATTATTTGTTTAGTTTTGACTTTTTACAGCTAAAATGATAAACTTTAATCACTGTTAAATAAAATTTATACTAGATATTGATACAAGAAAAAATTTATTAGAATTTTTTACTAAAATATTTTTGAAATACACTTTTATTAATTAATATATTATATAGTTTTTTTTATTTAAATTATACGTCAAAGGTCGACATTAGTTTAATGTAAGAAATCAACACTGGATAAATACTTTCGGGCGGAAGAAATATGTTTAAAAATTATACAAACATTTTATAAAACAAAAATAACATGATTATTATTCGATCCCGGAAAATAAAAATATTTATAGGTAAAAATATGAAATAACACTAGACCTGGCTAAATAGTAAAATCATGTCGGGTTCAGGTTCAGTATTATCAAGTTTGAGTTATTTCGTATTCGGGTCTAAAAGTGCTTGTTCGTGACCCAGAGTTATCAGATTCAGGTTCACCCAACGGGTAAGAGGCATATTTAAAAATTAAATCTTTTATTATTTAGAGATCAAGTGATCAACGAATTTTTAAAAAACAAAGAATGAAATCACAAAATTAAAGTTTGCAAGTCTACTTGCAGCATACCTAAAAAAATTGCAATGTACTCAAAAAAATCAAATTTTTGCAACATACCAAAAAAAGTGGTAGTAGATGAATAAAATTGAAGATTCTTTTAATATACCAAAAAATGCATTATACAAAAAAATTGAGATTCTTGCAACGTATCAAAACAAAATTTGCAATAGATGAAAAGTGAGATTCTTGTTTATATTTTAAACATGGTGCCGTCATTACATTTTTGTAGAATGTACCGAAACATGTACTGTCATTATATTACATAACTGCAGCATACAAAAAATGCAGTATACCAAAAATAGTACACAATACCAAAAAATTTTATAATATACCAAAAAAATTAGAAGAAAAGCATTAAAACTTGAGTTACCTGCAGACACAACTGAAGAAGATGAAATAGGATTAGAAATTTTACTATTGTTGTTGTGTCTTCTCACTATTTTGATTGAGTTGGCACCTTATATCGACGAACGGTGGAAGAGAGAGAGAGAGAGAGGAATGATAGTGGATTTAGATTAGATTTTTCGCCTTTTGAGTTTTGAGTAGCCTAATTAGTTTATCATATTTTAAATGAATATAAAACTAAATAACTGATAAAAGCAAATAATTAAGTGCATAGCTCGTCGGGTCAAACATGGCCATACCCGATCTGACCCGAAAATTTAACGAGTCTTTGGGTTCGGGTCACAAAACAATGTTCAAGACTTGCTAATTTTGGGTCAGATTTCAAATTAGTAACGGGTCAAGTCAAATTTTTCCGTGTCTAAATAACACTGTGACTATTGTACCCCATTAAAGCCTTGAGCCAAATGAAGGCGGTAAGGTGCACAATGGACCGAATGGACCTAGGGTCCACAATGAACTTTCATACGTGCGAAATCAGTATTTCTTTATTACTTAAAAAGCATTTGTTTTTTAAAATACAAATTTTTTTATATAAAAAGGTCTACAAAAATGATATGCACCTAAGGTGCATTAAAGAAGTACTCAAAAGTAATTACATATCATTAATTAATAACCATAGGTATATAAAAAAGTTATAACATACCATTAGATAATTGCCATATACTCCGTAGTTATCTTGACAGTGGCACTTGATGTCATATTATGATGTGCTAGTGACCAAAGTGGGACTCTTATGAAACTTCGATCGAAAAATTGAGAGTTCCTACACTCTCTAACTCCAGTCCCGATGCGTACCCCTATGTTTGTTTCCTTCAATTTTTGTTGACTACAAGATAAAAATATGACTTTAAAGTCAACAAAATTTTGAAAGTACATTTAGAGAAGATGAATGGACCGAGGCAAGCCGAGGTAAGAGGTTTACTTAAGTAAAAAGAGAGGTAAAAACCGTCTACTTTTTTATTGGAATATCGTAGAGATCCAATCTCGTAATATGAGATATTGTAAAGGCCAGTGTCAAAATAACTCTGCCGTTAATTAATAGGCATAGAGTACATAATACTCCCTCCGTCTCCCAAATATTTTCTAAGGCAATATTATCAAACTTTAACTCACTTTATCTACTTATTTTTTGAAATAATGCAATTCTGTCACTTTTTGTTTTGTAAAATTTTCATATATTTTTTATTTTATAACTTTTATTTCTAAATTTTATATGTACAATCAAATAAATTATTTTAAAATAAATTATTTCTAAATTATTTTAAAATAAAGTCAATCAAACCTCATAACACATAATGAAAGGTTTTATGCGATCAGAATGAGTATATGAAGTATTACCTTTGTTCCTGAGTATTTGTCTAATTTTGACTTTTTTTAGTCAACTATTTTCAATCTTTGATGTATAATTAAATAAAATATTTATTATATATGAATTAGATAAAATAATATTTTAAAAATATTTGATAAAATAAATCTAATAAAATTATTTTGGCATCAATATCTAATATCATATTTATTTAATTTGAAAATAATGTTTACAAATTTAACCAAAAAAATCAAAAGTCGACAAATAGTCACGAGCAGATGATGTAAATACTGCGCAAGTCTGCTTTAAAAAGGCATGATTGTCATGCCCAAAAAGAACCCCATTAACCACTAATGGAATCCTTAAACATTATCCATGAGTTTGAAGAGTAAATCATCTAAGTTATGATCCACAAAAAAATATTATGACAAGTTCCTAAACTAGCTACATTAATTTAACATAATTAGCCTGTCCGAGGCTATATATATATATATCTATATTTATATGAAATGGGGAAAAAATGAATGCATGTAGCACATCTATAATATATATTAGCTTCTTCTGCTCTCTCTTGAAAGAACCAATTATTCCCATGCAAGAGATGATGAGATCAGAAATCGGGCATAGGTGGGCCCGGCGCGCCCTGCGTCGGGCCTGGACCCCAACGTGCGGAGAAGCTAGCCCGGATGTCGTATCTGGGCAGGCTTCGGGTGGTGGTGATGATGATGATCGGGCTTCAGATCGGATCAACCCGACGTAGCTATTTCTTGCTAGACGACATCGAGTTGATGGACCTTCCAATGGTCACTCAACTCAACTCGTATTTTGCTAGGATGCATATGCATGTTTTGGCATGCATGCACGCGCTTAGCTTGTTTTAAACGAACGAATGAATGAATCTCTTTAACGATGAGGAATTGGCGAACGTATCATCGCCACACTCACGCCTGCGGCACAACAAAACAAACTGTCAAAGAAATTAGCTCCATTGTTTAAAAAGATGACATTAGGTGCAAATGAAATTGTTTATATGAACAACCTAGTTCATCTTAGGTAACATCCTGAAAGAAGATATATAATGTGAGATGAAGGAAATACTACTATGATGTTTGCATACATTAGATATTTTGAATGAATATGGACATTTACAAATTTAATTGGGCAAGGAAATTACAAAACTATGCAGTTGCATTTTGTTGGGAAGAAAGAGAGAAACATATATATATATATATATATATATATATATATATATATATATATATATACATGAAGAGGAAGTCTATTTTCACACCGTTTCATATATATACATTAGTTCAGTTGAGACACCTACGGTGCTTCGATCGTAAAATTTTACGATCAAAGCAACGTAGGTGTCGTAATTGAACTTATATAAGGGAGTGGTGCTTAAGTGAGTGGTGTCAACAAAGGCACTTAATATGGAAGAGATGCAAACCTGGTTGTAGCGGCGGTGTGTGCGCAAGAGAAATGGGGGTGGGGTAGTGCTGAGCCGGGTACCCGGCGGTGGTGTTGATGGCGGCGGAGTACGGAAACAAGTGGTGCGGGTACTGTACACCGTATGGCTGGCCGGCTGTGTAGCCACCGGTGGTGGCTCCGCCACTGCTTCCTTCGCTGAAATTCAGGTAAGGGTAAAAGGCCGCCGTGGATAACATCGCATTCGTGCCGCTACCGTACATTTGGTACTGTCCGGCCGTCGCCCCTCCGTACATCCCGTAGTAACCCTGAACGAACGCACATTACATAATGAGTTAATCGGCTAGGTTCTTTTGAGACATCTTGTTGGCTTTCGAAGCGGGTCTTACTCATATCCCTTCCTTTCATCCCTCCCTCCCACCCATCTCCAAATCGCTGATATGTTAGTTACGGGGGAGGGGGGGGAGGAGGGGACATGTAGGGCCCACTTCGCGGCCAAACAGGAAATGTGATCTCAAGTGGCTCTATATAAGAGCGAAACATTCAATGTGTGGGTCAAAAGAACCCTTTTGAGAGTTTTTTATGTTATTGTCCAAATCATGCTAGAGTCACACAAAGTTTTTGATACCGAAGTTTGATATAGACTTGCTCAAATACTCATTATCTGAACTAGAGAGAATTTTTATGTATCTACTCCCAACGTTCTAAAACGATCTTCTCAATTACTATTCACATAGTCAAACTTTAGTTACTTTTTTCTCTTATTTTCATTAGTTATTTGATAAAATAATATAGCCATGTCACCTATTATTTTGTAGATCTTTTGACGTAATTTTAAATTACACCCTCCGGTCTTCTTTAAATTACTCCCTCCGTTCATGTTTTGACTTTTTTTGGTCAAACAATGACACTCTTTGACCCTGAATTATGATTTATAATATAAATTTAATATAATTAGATTCATCTTAGGATATAGTTTTGATATATCAAATTTTTATGTCATTTATTTATTTATATTATGTTTAGCATATAGTCAAGGAATATCACTGTTTG